GGGATTTGTTTTCATCAAGATAAGAGAGGTGTTCTCTTACTATTTTTTTGCTTATTTTAACTTTTATTTCTGGTCTGTCTTTTACAGTTATGTTTTTGGTGGGTTGAGCTACAGTTTCTTTTTGCGTGAAGACGGATGCAAAGAATGAGTTAAGCAGTTCTGCTTTCTCTCTGTTGCCTGTTACTTCCTTGCCATCTACCACCTGCTCTTAAAACATCATATGAGCATCATATTATCAATGCCAAAATGAAATACTAGATGCTGGACTATCATAGCAGAATCTCATTGCATCCAGCCACTAATTCAGAACCACAGAGGCAGAAAGGGTTGTCAGATACTGTATTTATTGTGATATGCTAACTGCTTCTCTACATGGAACTTGTCTTTTTTTTTTAAATATCAAACGGAATCCACATGTTCTGAAAAAAACATGTAGTAAAACAGACAGGAAGACTTAGGGGAAAATTGTTTCCTCAAGAACAGCTTTCTCTCTATATGCCAATTCTTAGAAATGCAGGTTAGGCATGGTTGTTAAGTATGGGGTCCCTGCTGCTCTCTGAGCTTGGTTGTTGTATAGACTTGTGGCTAGTTTATAATCAATATATATAAAAAAGAGCAAACCCCATTCCCTTCTAGGACTGACAATGTTACCTGGTTGGGTAATGAAATGTCTGTAAACTATAAATATTCTCATCTATCAGCATGGTTGTTAAGTGCTGTGACATAGCAGTGAGATTGACATAAATTCTGTCAGGTATTTGCAAAAAAAAATATTAGAATAATTCCACTTTTCTTTTAAGAAATGTTATGCTGATCTATTACAATGAAGGAGGAGGAACTCACTCATTATTAATATTTCTTTTTGCTGGGAACTATGGGAGTTTACGGCCAAAGCACCTGGAAAAGTATCAGATTGGGAAATGCTAATCTAAGATTGGAATCTTGCAAGCCAAAATCAAGATTTGAAGTATTTTACACTGTGATCAAATGATAGCCTCAGATATCCCAATTCTCAATTCACACTATTTTTGTAATACGATGCTTGGTGCTCATGCAAACACAAGGGTGACAGCAATAAACAGTTACAGGGATGGTTCTTGGCAAACTACCATCTCAGTACCGCTACCTTATACGGTCATGCTTACTAAGTTTAGCTGCCTATTCAAAAACATACCTTATACAGATGACTAAGTTTCATGCTTTGGGATTAGTAGCAGCATAGATCATATTAACCAAGCTCTGACCAATTCATTCGTAGTACTTCCTTGACAACTGTTTACTGAGGAATGAGTTTTCATTCATTCATGCAAGCTGGCTCTAAATTCAGCTTTTAGGTGGGATCCCTCACTTACCTTGCAAATAAAGAGAGGTGAAGCATCAGTGCTCCTGAATCTGGATTTAAGCATTCCCTTCCATATATTCCACACACTTCCCTTCCATAAATTCCTTCTCTCACCCTTGTCTGAAAAGGAAGGAGAGAAGTTCTTTGAAAGCTTGCAAGCTATCCTGAGGGGGATATCTCATCAGGGAATGTGTATGTTGCCCATCCTTACAAAAGATGTGGGGAATAATTTACTTAACCATTTCAATAAAAAATATAAAAAACAAAGCATGGCACTTTCCCTTAAAAAGTCCTGAGAACAAAAAGGAGATTGCTTGATATGCTTGAGGAGCATGGCTCAATCCTGACAATCTCCTAATACACATCCATCAAAGGTTCTTTAGACAATGCTCCAAAGTGTGCATTAGGGCATTTCCACCCGAGGCTTTGGCACTGCTCCTATAGCAGTGCCACCCTTCTTTGTTCTTGGATTGGTGTCATCCTTGAGCAGCTGAATTGATTTTCTCCCAGTTAGATCACTAACATCTCAATGACAAAATTCTGCTTTGTGATTGGAGAAATTTCAGTGCTGCATGGCTCAAGGGCAAGGAACTCCCATGAACGGCTTGCCTCCTGACTTCTGGGCTCACTTCTTTTCTAACAACACCAAGTCTCCATAGCACCATACCACTGTTTACCAGAGGTTTCTAAATACAATTTTCCATTCACCTGCACAGAGACTAATCAAGCCTTTTAAAAACCACTCCCACAGCAACCATGGATTGAGGCAAATATACAGGCAAGCAATAAGGTGACACGGGTGGCATCTTTGGGCAGAGAAAGGAGGCCTATCTTGTCATAGGTGCATGAGGATGATGGTGGCTCATTCTGTGACCACATCTGAGGAGCATGAGACACAAAAATACCAGCAATATGGAATGCTCCAACCTCAGGCCCAGTTAGGACTCCTATAACAGCCTCTTCCAATAAGAAGAGCTTTTTATTGACCACAAGAGGCATTTAAGTGATTTCTTCAAGGAATATCATAGAAAACATGAAGATAACTTCTGATTATGGAGCTACCTACTCTGAAAAGAGAATAATGAGCATAAACATGCACATGACCCATAAAGAGCAAACGGGGATTTTGAAATCAGTCTAGGTTGGCAAAAGTGATATTTGAAGTCCACAGACTTTATTGATCAATGTAATAATCATGACAACAGGCTAAGAGATCCTAGAAACTTTTATTGAACCCCTGGTGGGCAAGTGGTCTGGAACTGTTGATTCCCTTGAATGTGCCTGGAGTCGTTAGCAAGGGAAACAGATTGTATGGGCTGGATGCAAGTGGCAGAGCAGGTGAACAAGTGGGGCCAAGGGTTCTAGTGAGATAGAAGAGACTTGTAGAGACTCTGTGGGAGCTTTTCTTCTTTATTACAAAGCAAGACTAGGAGAAAGAAAAGAGGGTAAAGAGGACAAACTGAAAACACAAAAGGTCTACCATCTTAAAAGGATAAGCTCTATGCTACACAGATGCTAGGGAGGAAGGGGGAGAGAGAGTAAATGTTAAAAAGTAACAGTTCAGCATTCCCAGGCTCATTTAACTGAAAAAGTGAGTATACTCCACTTTGGCAGAAAGAAGGGATTATTTCAAGGTAATGAGAGACTCTCTGAACCCCTTTTTCCCTTCCCCCTTTTTTTCTTCCTGATCTTGTTGCTGACTCAGAATTCTGTCTGGGGTTTTCTTCTTTTTGCTGTCCAAGCAAAAGTTGACTACGGAAGAAACAACTATGGCAATAGACATCAGAAGAATCAGTAAGCCACCAACACAATAATTTCCTTTATGAGAATGCAGGTCTCTCAATATCAGGGAAATATGTTGTGCCCAAAGAGCCCTAATTCTAGCATACCTGACTTCCTAAGAGAGTCAGACAGTGAGTAGTGAATTCTGTAAGATACTTTTCACACAGTCCTCTCAACAACTAACTACATTTAATTTGCCAGACAGGTGTGAAAGGCGAGTTGCCCAATTGTGCTCAAGCCAAAAAAGGATTTGGGCTACATTTCCTCTATAGAAATCACTAATTGGCAATTAGATCCTACTACTATACTAAACAGATTTGTCAAGGCCATAATTTGATGGGACTGACTAGCTAAAAATGGCATGAGAATCAACAATTTTGGCAATCTTTCTCAATAACACAGACCAGTTGTAAGCATGAGACAAGACAAGTTAGAATTTGTTTAGACAAGGTGCTACACAGCCTGCCATTCTCATGTTCTATAATTAGAAACCACAGGGGATTTTTCTTCAAGTTGTTGTTGTGACTCTATCACACTTCCAAAAAGAAAAAAAAACTCGCAAGTAAAATTACAGGGATCTTATACTTGAAAGCACAGGAAGAAAACATCATAGAGAAGATTCTGGAATTAAAGCTTCAATGTTTTGCCATCACAGAAAAGTATCTGCAGGTGCTACAGTTGTCCTGTGTTTTTACTTACTGGCCCAATATCAGTGTACTTGCTGTCATTCCCCCGCTACATATGCTTCCTTATGCATGCTTGCATATCCTGGGTGCAACTACATTAAGATGAATTTATAATCAGCTGAGTATTTATAAACTTCCTCAGAAAATATTTTGAGAAGAGGACCACAACGTTTATTTTAGTGTTCTTTCCAAGCTGACAAGCTAAATTGGGAGAAATTACCAACTGATATTTTAAATAAAAAAAAATCCAGGAGAAATAATAATGGGAATTGTAGTCCAACACTTTTAAATGTTATTGAGTTGGAATTCATACTTAGGTATAAAGAAATTCTAGCTGTACCAGTTTTCTGTAAATTGTAGCAAGGAAATATTCAGAGTAGGGAGGTAAAATTCTCCTTACATGATTTATAATGGGTTGTGGGTAATCTTTATCAGTGGTAGGAACACTCCCACATTAGTGTCCCTAATCAAAACTGTCTGCTATGAGCTCCAAGAGCTTCAACCTTACAGCTCATTTGACCCTGAGAATGAAATTAACTACAGATAGTCCTCGACTTACAATAATTGAGCCCAAAATATATGTTGCTAAGCAAGACATTTGTTGTGAATTTTACCCTATGTTATAACCTTTCTTGTCACAGCTGTTAAGTGAATCATTGCAGTTGTTACGTTAGTGACACAGTTGTTAAGTAAATCTGGCTTCCCCATTGACTTTGCTTGTCGGAAGGTTGCAAAATATGATCCCATAATTCCAGGACACTGCAATCAGTCATAAATATGTGTCAGTTGCCACACATTTGAATTTTGAACATGTCACCAGAGATGCTGCAAACGTGAAAAATGGTCATAAAAGTGTCACTTTTTTCAGTGCCACTGTAACTTTGAACAGTCACTAAAAGTTGAGGACTACCTGTACATAGATTTTTTTGGCTGTGTAGTTAGTTCCATTCCTAGATTCTGAGTTTTGATTATATTAGAACACGTTCCCCTTAGCCTGGATCTCTCCAGATAGCTATGCATATTAAGGATGATGGGAGTTGCAGTCCAATATATTTGGAGGGTGCCATATCATAGAAAGCTATGCTTAAGAGGAAAGAAACTTGCAGATGATGTTAGATTCTGATCTATCTATCTATCTATCTATCTATCTATCTATCTATCTTGTTAATAATTTTATATGCAGCATATTGTACATAGTGATTGATCATTGCCATGCCTAGTTGGTTAGTTAATTTGTTCGTCTCAGCCAACATATAGTAAGAAAGCTGTCATTTACAGCTACTTCACTTTAAAAATATTTTTAAAACTATTCTTATCTCCAAATGACTTTCAAACTAACAAAATATTTCTGATGTGGCAATCCTCGCACTTAAGACTGAAGTCTAAAAAAATTAGCCTACAAAGAAAAGCAACGGATGAAAATGGAAGAAAGTGTAACTTATCTTTTCATGGATTCATTCAACATGGGCAACTGGCTACATTGGACCTTGTAGTGCATCCTAATGTGAGATGCCAGCCATTATTTCTGTATATTGAATTTCTGTATATTGAATGAACCATCCTGTCAAGCCATAATATTGTTACCTGGTTTTAAAAAAAATATGCAATGTGGATGCAGCAATTGCATCTTGGTAGCGTGTTGTGTAAACCTGGCTATAACATTACTCTGGAAGAAATTAAAATGTCTCCTTTTGCTGTCAGTAAGTACTGGCAGGAAATGCCAACTGAGGGGAAAACTCTGTCAATGTATTCACTGATTTATCTGACTTGGAATTGGCCCTATGGTATGCAGACAAGTAAATCAAGAGGATAATTTTGTAGACTTCTGTAGAGAATGTGCATGTGTCAATTAAAGATTTATTATATAGTTGCCTATTCTTGTAAGTGTTTACATAATAATTTGATTAATACAGATGGTGCTTTGAGGGGCTGTGAGAAATGTTTTTAAAATGCAGCTGTTTAAAAACTTTGTCCCTTAAAGCATGGCACCAGGAAAACTAATGCTTTTCAGGATCATGTAATTTTTGTTTTTCTTGTGATTTAAAGAAACCTGAAGCAGAGGCTGGATTGTTTAGGTTCTACACCATACCCCTCCCTTCACTGGCCACACCTTGCTGATAAAATGCCAAAGAAAGAAGTAGAAGAAGAAAAAAAGAGGCAAGAGAGAGAGAGAGAAAGAAAAAACGAAAGCTTTTACTAGGTCCCTTTTTCAAAGAATGACAACAATTGTATTTGCTGGCTAATCAGGCTTTTCAGAATTGACCAAGAGGAAACAACATAGCTGGTGATGACACAATCCTTGTTGGCATAGCCACTTAATGAGGAAACTCCCACAGGGAAAGGCTTTATAAGTGCTTCAGGAAGGTTGAGACATTTCTCAGGCAGTGCCGGTGAGTCAAAAAGAGAGAGGGAAAAAGACAGAAGTGCTGGTAGTACAACCAGGTCTCAACTTGACATCAGGATGAATTCTGGCCATGGCTTCTACCACCTTTCCTCTGGCTACCTTGGAGGACCCTCAGGATGCCTCCTGCAGCCTATAGGGGATTGCTACAGAACTTCCAATTTCCATGGAGTAAGCAGCAGTCTTCCCATGCCTCTGTCCTTTGGAAGCCCTATCTGGCTGGCTTCTCCTGCTGAGACAAGCTGGGGAGCCTTCAGTGGGAGTCAGGGAAACCTCTTCATGGGTGGGAACGAAAAGCGGACCATGCAGGAGCTGAATGACCGCTTGGCTTCCTACTTAGAAAAAGTACGATCTTTGGAGGAAGCCAACACACAGCTGGAGGGCTGCATCCGGGAATGGCACCAGAAGAGATCTCATGGCACCCAGCGAGACTTCAAGGATTACGAGCACAACATCTCAGACATGCACGAGAGGGTAAGTCAGCAGAAATGCCAACTGTTCTATTTTCTTCTCCAAAGGATTGATTCAACCCAGCTGGCTGAATTAGAAACCGCTGGAATATTACAACCAAGGGTTATTTTGCTGAAGTGATGTCAATAAAATAAAATATTGCACACACCAAAAATGTGGATTCAGAGAAGAGCAAAAGCTGAAGAAGTCTTAATATAATTTTTTTTTAAGTGTAAGCACAGACTGAAATCTATACATCTAATTACTTTTCCTGAGAGCAGAGATGTTTACCTTTTCATATAATGTTCTACATGTAGATGTTAGACTCTGGGACAGCAATCTGAAAAGCACATTCATATTTATCTTTTTTCTAGTATTTAATTGCAGCATTTAGTTTTATATACCTTTTCTAAAAATAGCAATGGGAGCAAAGAAAGAAAAAACACTTGCATTCTTAGTGCACTCAAAATATTTGCTGAATTTTAAATAGAAGGTAATATTACTATTTTTTTCCTTTAAGTTATTGATACAGAATGTACCTATTTTAAAACATAATCCTGAGGTGACCTATTCGTATCATGGTTTACAGAATAGACTTCCTTTACAAATATTGAGATTAGATTTATGAATGAATTCTAAATCCTTGTTAAAATGAGTTAATGGAACAGCCACTGTCCTTTAGATATGTTATACTAGATAGAAGGATTCTGAAAACACATAAAAGGAATGAAGCCATGCAGATTGCCTGTGCTCCCTTATCCCCAATATACACTGAATGGAGGAAACCTCAGGTGGGTTTATTTTCATTGTTATTCCTTATTCATTTAAATATGATCCAGCTGCCAAAAAAGTCAATGCAGTCTGGGCTGCATTAACAGAGGGATAGAATCAAGATCGTGCTAAGTGTATAATCAGGAACACTGATAGAGTGGAGTTGCATTATGTAGACAGTTTTGCTTGTGTTTAGATCAGGGCTGACTAGGCACATGGTTTGGCCCCTGATACTGATCAGTTAATAGGTCAGAGAGTGTAAATGTAGACATGCAGGTATGCAGTCAATCAAATTTTATGATCATAGAACAATGTAAGTAAGGTGAGATACAAACAATAAAGAAGTAAAGAGCCAAAAAATATTAAAACAGAAGTTATACAGAGTTTAAAAAGCTTTTTTTTTTATGAAAATAAATATGCACACACACACATACATGCAAATGCATATACACACACATACACAGATGTTTTAATGAATGATGTACATATTTGTCCAGTTCATAAACTTGAAACTCCAGGCAACATACCACCATAAACCAAGTCAAAATATCCAACAATGAGAAAAAAGTCAATTAATAAAAGTAAATCACTGAATAAGGGCATGAAATTTTGTTTCCTTTGTTATCTATTTGCATTTTTATACCAGTTTTATATTTGTGATACAGTTGATTGACTAAATCAATAAAGTGTTTTCTTCTTCTGCACTAGAAGCATAAGCACCTACACTCAAGGATGAGCCAATCTAATTTCCCAATAGAGGAGACATTTGGGTCTTCAAAGTCTTTTTGAAGGTTGACAAGGTCAGGGACAATGAAATCTCAGTATGTACTCATCCATTGATTTTTTTTTTTAAAATCCCATTCCCTTCTAGTAGTTTTAAATAAGACTAGTGTGAGAAAAAGAAAGATGGACCATTTCCCAAATTAGTGATCTGAAGCAGATTCTCTGAGATTATGGGAAAGACCCATAACCCTCTCTTTGACTATTGCTTGTTTCCCATTGCAAGAATCCAATGATTTTGAACAACATAAACCATAAGTAATGATTTGTTTTCTACTGGTCAGCTAATTATGCTGATTTATTGATTAGAGGCAAAGGCAGATGAGGCTGTAGGGCTTTTATGGCTGAGGACATAGGACACATTTCACTTCCTGTCTTTTGCTTATTCATAATACAAGTAGAAGCCCACCGCAGATCTCTTCACTCACTCTTCACTGTGTTTGTGAAAACTGTGATGGAATACATACATTCAGCGACATCCATATTAGCCATATTCAAATACGCATAATGCCTGAATAGAGTCTTGAGCAAACAACCTGTATGATAAACTGTAGTGAAACATTCCAGGAAAATTAAAAAGCATTCCTGTGGATGAAATGTATTGCACTGGAAATTATCTTGCTCAATTCATTATATTAGCAAGCTGTGTTGAGAAAACACAGAAAAAAATTGATTCTTTAAATCATCACTGGAAAGTTGAGCATTGTTTTACAGGTCTCACCACCACAAGGCAGGCATAATTATTAGCTGCATCAGGTGTCAGATGCCAGAGTGAACAGGAAATGCAGATGATGGTTGGAGGGCAGAGAAGTAGTGGTGATGCTTTGCACCCCTGAACTAATTAGTAGTTTTTTGGTGAAGAGGGAAATCTTAGTCCATCACTATAGTTGACATAAGATATAGCTGCAGTTCTGAGCAGCTTTAATACGGAGAAGGTCCATCTTGTCTTTGGCCCAAAGATGTTGCAATGCCGGTAAAAAAAAGAACAGATAGTTTTTTCATGGCTGCAACATTTTTAACTCTCTCTTTGTAATACTCTCTCCCTGCCTTTGCCTCAGTTTGTTTATTTCTTTGCACTATTGTTACCTCTTGTTCTGAATGTAGCACAAACATACATCTGAAACAAATTGCTGCATACTTCAAAACTAAATGTTCCTCTATTTAAAAAAAAAATCCTTCTTCACTGGAAACTAAATGCCACAGTGAAATTGTCAGAGCTGCTAACTATTGTTAGCTGTTGTATCTTCATTTATCTCCAAGCTCAAGTCCAATAGTTATCTATATTAGGGATGTTACAGATGGGAAGACATTTCATCAAATGAGCGCCAACCTAATTTGAATGGTATTCTATTAATAAAAATGAATCCCTTCTTCTGTGATTCAATAATAAGTCAAAGGATTACCATTATTGTTCATCCATGTTATTATTGCTTCTCCCTATTCACTGATTCTGGGATATCCTTTTTCTTTTTTTAGTAGTCATTCATCTGCCATTTGTCACTGCTCTCTGTCTTTGATTTAGGGCTGTTCTGTCTCTGTTTTTATATGCATATATATGATGTGTCTGTTCTCCTGAACACACTGCTTCTTTGTAATGTGAAACAGTTTTAAAAAACATGGCTAAAATGAAGTGTTTAAGGTGCGAGGACTTTCATATACCATTTAATTCACTCAGCATTAGTCAAGAAGAAAAAATGAGGTTGAATTACTGTAATACCCACCAACATCATTCATGCTTCCTGGATCTAAAATAATTGGAAGAATGCAGTACAAAAATGCAATGCTTTCAACATTAAAAAAAAAAAAGGATGTGAAATTTGTATCTTGGGAGCACATGAAAACACATACAAATGATCTTGCACATTTTGGTAAAACCAACCATAACGTATGTGGACATGAACTTTATGCCAAAGAAACGAGAACCTTAGCAAAACCGACACTGACAGATCTGTTTATTCTTACATCACAGAAGTTTTGAAAAATCTTATCAGACTTTGCAGAATTTGTGAATAGACAAGCATATAGTTTGGAAGGGGACAATTTTTTTAATGTGCTGTATACTTTGTTCTTAATATTTTTGTTACACGGAACTAAGCAAATTATAACAACTGATAACAAGAAAATTATTTTTGAAAATGTTTTCAAATGCCTTTCTTAACAAAGGTAAATGACATTCCCAAAATGAATATTTGAGAGGCAAATGGAGTCTAAGTATAGCAATCACATACAGGAACTTTTCCTGCAACTGTCTGACATCCTTATAATTAAAAAGGAGTCCTTGTTCTCACAAAAAATGATAGGAAACATATATAACTCTTTATATCCTCTCATATATCCAAGCTCAGGTCTAATAAGATTTGTAGCAAAACTTTCTTCAGCTAGGTAATAATCTCTATAATTAATTAGAATAATGACTTTTAACTTCACTTTATTGTGTCTGATGAGTTGGTCTTTGCATAAAGTTGCAGTTTAGTAATGAGGAGTAGAAAGGTAAAACAGAAGTCATTTGAAAACATTTTGAAACATGAATTTCAGCAACATTGCACCCAGGACTAAATAATTCCAACTACATAATGATATTCCCTTATCTTTTTTTTTAATGTGATGGGATTAGAACTGGATAGGAAAAATAGTGCCCATACATACCAAGACAATGTAGATACAGTGGAACCTTGGGTCATGACCATAATCCATTCCTGGATTCCGGTTGCAACCTGATTTGGTCATGTCCGGAAGCATGATTGACTGTGCATGTGCACAGTAAAAAAAAATGATGCTGAAAGTGAAACTTTCCCTGCTGATTTTGTTCACCACCTGATTTTTGAATTGTGACCCGATTCAAAAATTGGGTGGATTTTTAGTTCGCCACCTGATTTGGTCGCAAACAGGAGCATTTGTGACTCAATGTTCCACTGTATCTTTTGTGGCAACATTACCAAGCCATAATTAGATCAGCATAATTTTAAAAAATCCCTTGGGTTGCCAATTGGTTCCATAGACATCCATAAAATTAAAGCAACCCATTATTTTATCTAGAAAAGTACAAAAAAATGTCAAGACTATGGGGGCGGGAAGCTAGTGAGGATAGTGGAAAACAATTCTTTACTGTCTGATAAATGAAAGTTTTTGAATAGCTATACCCATCTTGGCACTCATTTAATGAGAATGCCTACAATCTCATCTAAATTTTTCACTGTGTCCATTGATTCAAAAAGGTTGCCTAATATTGAAGAGGGCTGGACATTGCTTCAGCTTCAAGTTGGGGAAACCCTAGAATAATTTTCAGGACATAGAAAATGCATCCAGTGTCAAGGACCAGAACCAAGGAAAAAAAACATTTCCAGTTGTAAATCTCCCTTTCTTGACATTCCTTGCTTAGTCATGATGACTATAAATGATGACAATTTTTCTGTAGTGGAAGGGAAAGGGATGACCAGCAACAAGGTGCACAGAATATGCTTCAGTGGCAATAGTATAATAGGCCTGTCATAAGAATCTATATGATTGCTAAGAGTGAAAAATGACTGGATGGTCCATAAATAATTAATAATGCAGTTATCAATCAATTCATTCATTCATTATGTAGATGTGCTTTGTGGCTTCTATACACCCCTGCAAACCAAACTGAATGCACATGATGCAGAAGTTCTCAAAAATTAATTTGCCTTTATTCCATTCCTACCACTCTTTCGGTCATGAGCCAGTAAATATATGCTCTGGACATCCTAGCTGTAAAAACTCATTTTTGTTTCATCATAAACTTAATCATATTACTTAAATAGGATAGTTTCTGTCTTTCCTTGACTGAATGTCAATATAGACCAGGGGTGGGATTCAATTTTTTTTAACAACTGGTTCTGTGGGCATGGTTTAGTTGGTGAGCGTGGCTTGGTGGTCATGTGACTAGCTGGGCATGGCCAACTCAACATCACTCACATCGAGGCATGCATCTCCTCGCCTGGCCTCTCGTGACTGTGGTGATGCTGCAATAGTCATAAGTGTGAAAAATGGTCATAAGTCACTTTTTTCAGTGCCATTGTAACTTTGAATGGTCACTCCACACAAGCAGAGTACCACCAAAGGAAGGGGAAAAAACTCCAGAGAAGTTCTTGAGACAGGAAGTCTAGTCCTGCCAAGAATGAAATAAAGGTTAACGGAGAGGCAGTTTCAGTAAGCAACACCAGAATGTTTCCTTCCTGCTTTCCTTACAGGATTAGGCCAGTAATTTTTCTAACAACTGGTTCTCCTAACTGCTTAGAATGTTAACAACCGCTTCTAGCAAATAGGTGCAAACCTGTAGAATCCCACCCCTGATATAGACCCTTCCTGTTTGCTACACAGTGAATTTCCTGGAGGAAATACTAAGAAACAATTCCAGAAAAATTGATACACCCAAGACTTGGCCTATTTCTGGGCCTATAGCCTACACTTAGTCTTACATCTGCTGATATGACAGGTGCAAGAAACAATTGCACATCCACCTTTTCAAATATTAGCATATTTGTGTTTGGTAGTGTTGTGGATAGAATCTGTGATATGACAATGTACAGTACCTTCTTCTACTGTGATTCTGGGAAGGGAATCTGAATTAATGGATAAACAGTCCATCACAAACACACTAATGGAAGTAAGGAATTTAATTCATCCGGGACAGAGTTCTGTGAATCAAGATTTCCATGTTAATGAGTCATTTTGGCTTAAGAAGATATTCACCTTTCAATATACTCTTGAAAGGATTTTCAGCTTCCTCTGGCACATCACAGAGGATTTACATAATAGGTGTTTGGCAAGATATTGTCTCAACATCACTCTAAACCACCCATAATCATAACACCACCCAATTTCCTTTTGACATGATTCATGATGAGTTTTGTTTCCATCTGGGTATCTGAAAGAAGTTTCTCCAGGTCAAAATGGTTAATGACCCTGTCAGTCAAGGGAAGGATAAGAGCAAGAGGAAAGACCTCTAAAATCCTTGGCTTTGTTTAATTCCATTGGAAATATTTCCTAAGCAGTTTTTGTTGTTGTTGTGGCAATATGTATGGTATTAGGATGAGAAAAAGATAAACAGCTGAAGTGAGCCTTTAACACCATTCATATGTATGTCAGTGCAGCAAACATAAGAACTTGATATTTAGGTTAAGGAATTTCATCTAGTATGATTTGCTATATGTCATGCTATCAGAAGCCTAAGTTAAAAAAAAAAGATGTTTCTTCAACCTGGGATCCAAAAAATATAGATTTTAAGGTTACAGTTGCCACCTCTTTTTATTCATAGTATATCAGGCTTTGAATTAAATATTACTAACCTCATTTCTGAACCAATATTAATCATTATATATACCTATATGGAGGAGTATCTTGCCTATCTAAAGTATCTTTCCTGTTTGGTGAATGTATTTCCAGTAGATTCTTTTAAATCTATTGTCTTTTGAGAATGCTTTCAGTAAAGGGTAACTTCTATTCTTACCCATAATTTATATAACTAGAAATTCAAGCTTTTCCTTTTGTAGACATAATATATACCGTGTTTCTCATATAATAAGTCCGGGTCTTATTTTTTTTTGAGCCCCCCCAAAATGGCTAGGCTGTCTTTTTGGGGGTGACTTAATCCCCCCCCTTGCATCTTTGGGCGGGCGGGCAGCGATGGCTTGGATGTTGACCTCGGCATTGGTGGGGCACTTCGTATCGGGGTCAACGCAAGCAGCACCATATCCGGGTGTACAACAAAAGTACTTTCTAATGGCAAGCCCCCCCACCATTCCCCCCATTTCGCATGTTTTAATATAGGCCTTAATTTGGGGGGAGGGGCTTAATTTCATTTCATGCCTATAAAACATGCTGGGACTTCCTATTGGGGGAGGCCGTATTGTTGGAGAAACAGGGTAGTTATTGAAAGCCTTTGAGAATCATTATAATGCAGGGGTTTCTAATACAGCCCCTGTAAGTGTGTCACATTTGCTATTCTGCCAGGAAACATCCACAGGATTTTAAAAATAAATTTTAACACATTTTTTTTTTAAAAAAGAGATTCATAGGACTACAATCTCAGCAGACAATTAAATGTTATGAAACGTTTATGCCCGCAGCTGAAATCTTGCAATATATTGAACTTTAAAACTAATAAATTTTCTGATTATCTCCTTTAGGTCATTTAAAAATATTTTTTTTCATTTTCATTATTATTTTAGCACTCACAGACTACCGATAGTCAGGAGTTTTGCTATATGTAAATTTGGGACAAGATATTATGGTTTTTTTTAATCCAAATATCATAACCCTTTCATAGTTACTTGCAGCATCACAATGATGTAGTAAGAGGATTGCAGCTTATATTGTGACAGCAATGCTTTTGCCCCATTTTGGTACTCTAACCCAACCCTGCAGATGCCTCTAACATTGCTGCCACTGCTATCCCAGTGCTCAGTGTTTCACCTGCTTTCCAATATTCCTCTTGGTTACTGCTATTGCTTTCAGGATTATGGCTTGACTAAAATTAGAAGGGTAATTTTTTCCTTATATCTCTTCTCATCAACAGGCCTAGAGTTCTCCATCTTTTGATCCTTCACAAATCCTTCTCAAATCTTGTATCAATTTCCATTTTAATATGAATTATCCAGCATGTGTTTCACAAATCAGTACACAAGTTTGAACATATTTGAAATTACAATCAATTATTGGAATATGTATAGCTATGCTTTCTTATTTGTGCTTTACTGAATTTTGTGACAAAGCTCTTCAGTGGAAAAATAGGTTATTGAAAAGCATATATGCATCACATGCTAGAAAAGTTGAAATGAATAAAATATCTATTAGGGAGAAGTATTCATAAAACATGAACATTCTTAATTTCTTAATGTTCATCACATTCCAATCACAACCGAACATTAGCAGTTGCTTGCCAGCTTTCTTTCATCTGTTCTTATGGTGGAATATAATATTATGCAATTGTAATTAATATGTTTACCTTGAAATTATAATGAATATTTGACAGCTGGAAGAAGAACATTCACATCTGAAGCCAACCAAAAGCAAAACAAGAGGTGCTGAAAAGCTAATACATCCCAGCTTTGCATTTTGAGTTTCAAACTCTAAGCAAGTAATATTTTCTTGTAAAAATTTCTCATTTTTTTTCATTTTAATAGAAAATTGAGAAAATATTGATTGTAGTTTAATATTGATATGGTTATGTGCAGCAGTGCACAATAAATTCAATTAAAAACCTAATGACTATATTGGCACAATGTGCAATTTAATTAATTTTAACATGTTTATTTTATGGCTAGCCATGTTTGGCACATCCAGCTGATTTGGTTATACTTTGGTTCAGTGTATTTTGCAAAATCAAGGACTGGGCTAATTCAGTGACTAAATAAACCCACAAATGCATTCCAGAGGTGAAAAAGTAACTATAGTTTTCTTAGCCTACCAAAACAACAAATCATGAAACTTTTAGTCTACCTCTACAGTAAGATTAATATTTTGTCATTTACAGATTGAGACTGGACGGGTTACCAATGCAGGCCTTGTTCTACAGATTGACAATGCCAAAATGGCAACAGAGGATTTCAGGCTCAAGTAAGTCTTTTCTTGAGCTTCTCGTCTATTTTGGAAGCAGACAAAAATTCTTAACAATCCAAATATAACTAAAAAGATTAATTTATGCTTCAAGAGATTGAATTTGATTAAAATCACAATGGACATTATAAGTTATACCATCTGTTGTTTGATATTACATTACATTCCAAGAGATAAAAGGTTAGTGGCCAGCAAATATGCTGCTCTGGAACAAAATATTGGTTTGAGAAGTACCTTAATTGATTCTCTCTTTGCCTCTTACTCACTAGCAAGTGATATATAGATGATGAAGACGGATGTTTTGAACTATTGTGCTGTCTTTTCTGGACTCCAGGGGAGATGTCAGGAATTATATAGGCAACACAAATTGCCTGCTTTTCTCATTTCCTCTTTTCTTAAAACAAGTTAATGACTGCTTGTTTAAGGTGGAACATCATTATAAACATGTTGACACCATGAAGATGATATACTTGAGAATCATACAACCATAGGTTAGATTTACACAATATGCTTAGACAAGTCAATTAAAAACATGCTTACAATTGCACAACATGCCATTCCTTTTCTTTTTGTTTCTGTTTTGTCCTCTTTTTTTCTGGCTTGTCCTGATACACAAGTACAGCCCTTTTGGTTAATGTATAATGACATTTACTATGTGAGGCCAGTCTTCAAATAAATAGGTTATTGAACTGAATTGTTTATTGTACATATATACCCAGTATATATACAATGAAATTCACATATATGTGAACATAAATTTGGAAGAAAGTTTGGAGTTATCTAGTCCATCACCTGTCTATGAAGGTTCTGAAATTTAGGATTATTGTTATATCTTTGAGAAATGACCCTCCAACCTTGCTCTCTATATAGAAGAGCCCACCGATCTCCTAAGAATTTGTTGTGTCACTAAACAATTGGATAGAATTTGCCTGGATGTTCAGCCAACGTTTGCTTTTAATACAAAATGTATCATGAATTACATGCATTCTTCTAGACCCATACCTTGAATAAAATTCTGTGCCTAGACATCATCAATTTCTATAGGCAAATTGACTTCAAGCAGCTTCTTTAATGGATCTATCAAAAAATTGTCTTACATTTTCCTCAAGCTAATATTAGTGTGCAAATAGTTAACATTAATACAATTTAGTTAATTTCAATGCGATGAAAGTTGTACAAGGTAACACTGTGCTGACCTGTCCAGATCAAATGACAAGAGCACAAAATTATGTCCTATGCTCACTCAAACATTGACTCCTCTAGTTCAGCACTGTGTGAACCTTTCTCTACTTTATGTAGTCCTGTTGTTTTGGACTCTATTGCCATAATTTCCACAATTCCCAATTTATTTGCATGACAAATATTAAACATTTAGAGCAGGGGTGGGCAAACTTTTTGGCTCGGGGGCCGCATTGACTTTTAAAATTTGACAGACGGGCCGGGTCAGCACAAGATTTTTTGGGAATCGCCCCCCCCCCTCTTCTCCCCCTTTCCCTCCCCTCGGAGGCCCCCTGAGTCAGGAGTTGCTACCGCCGGCGCGGCTCCGCGCAGCTCCAGTCCCACGTTGCCTCGGGAAGGGAAAGGCAAAAAGGAAGAGCCGCGGCGGTGCTTTGCAACGGGAGCAGCGGCACTGGAGGCTCAGGCTCAGCGGCTCCTGGTTTTGCCTTTTCCTTCCCAAGGCAACGCGGGACTGGAGCCGCACGGAGCTGCGCCGGCGGTAGCAACTCCTGACAGCCCCAGCCGGACACCTGAGCGGAGCCCAGGCGAAACTGCCTGTTGCTGCTGCCGGAGCACCGCCGGGTCGCCTCCTCCAAGCAGCCCGCCTGCCCGCCGGGCTTCCCCTCTGATGCACGGCTCGGGGCCAGGCGCGAGCGCCCGCGAGTTAAAAGGAAGCCGAAAGTTGCTGGGAAGTTGCTCGGGTGCTGGGAGCAGGCTTTTAAAGTGCCGCCCGAGCAAAGTTTAAGCCTGGAAGCCCCGGAAATCCGAGCAACTTCCCAGCAACTTTCAGCTTCGTTTTAACTCGCGGGCGCTCGCGCCTCGCCCCGAGCCGCAC